CTCAGGGCATTTTGTTCAACTTCTAGAGCCATATAACTCTCAGGGCTACAGAGAATCTTCCAGATCTTTCAATTTAGTCCTCCAACATTACAAACCTAAAACTGAGTTGAAGGGCATGGCTTGCCTAAGGTCATAATGGAAGGCAGGGCGGGGTGAGGACCCAAGTCTCCTGAGTCCAGGGCTCTTTCTCTGACATTATTTAGGGTGAAGTGATAGGCCACACCTGCCCACTGCTTGGTCCAGATCCCCCTCAGGACCACAGTCAGCCCCAGTGGAACCAGGTATAGCAGAGGGGGCCAGGCTGGGGCCATCTGGGAGCCAAGCTGTACTGCTGATGTCGCCTGCCTACAAAGGACTGCTGCGCCATGACTGCCCATCCAAGCCCAGTGCATGAGAGGTAAAGCTGCCCTCGGCCCCCGGTTATCTGATGACCATCCAGAGGAACCCTGAGTTCCAATCAATCAATCAGAATTGGATTGCATGTCTGGAAACCCCCCTTCTAGAAACGCACTTAGGGAGGGGGCCTGCCTGGCCCACACTCACTCAGATTCACACTCATACGGTGGTGCTTCAGGGCAGAAGGGGCTCCTCATTTGCATACTCAGAGAGATGGTGTGTACAGGGAACTGGGCACTAGGTGGGAAATTAGGAAACCTGGGACAAGCTGAGGGATCTCAGGAGGATGCCTCATTCACAGAAATAAGAGGGTATCTGGGGGTCCTTCTGACCCTAACACAGCCCCTTTTATGCTTCAGCTGGTTGTTTCTGCTCGGGCCTGGTAGGTACCAGTAAGTACACCAACAAAACACACCTATGCCTGGCACATGGAAGGTGCTTAATAAATATCCGAAAAATTAATGAATATTGAAAAGGCATGAAAAATGGCACTTTTCAGGTGTTTTCAGGTGTTAACCTGAGCAAATATCAATCCCAGGAAAGGCAGAAAGGAGGCCAGTCTCAGGATGTCATTAAACTGGATGTTCCAGAGGGAGGGCCAGGGTATGCTTGTGTACCATGAATTTGTTTTGGTGTGCCACTATCATGCTGGCTCTGTCCCCAGAGCTGCAGAGGGTGCGGGGGGCCCTGACCCGTTTACTGAGCCACTTGGAGGCAGCCACCCTTGGCCTGTTACCTTCTGCTCCAGCGTTCTTTCCAGAGCATCCACTCGCAGCTGCTCCTTCCTCAGGCTGGCCTGGTAGGCAGCCTGCTCCTGCTGGGCCTTGCCTCGGACCTGGGCGATCTCGGCGTTGGCCCTGCAAGAATGGTGGGGAGTGGGGAGATGCCCACGAATTACCACCCTTCCCCACAGACACCTCCCACCTTCCTCCTCCCAACCGTCTGGTTTCAGGGGCCCAGCCCAGGAGCCCATGAAAAGTCCCATCCCCAGCCCCCAATCCCATGATGCTGAGGTGCTTCGAGTGGGTGCCTTGGGAATCACAACATGCATCTTCACTCATCAAAATGCATGCGAGTACAGAGTTCACTCTTATCATAGATTGAACTGAAAAAATACACTTGGATTATCTGCCCTTCTCAAGCCCATGTGAGGGGTGCCACGGGAGGTCCCAGCCTGCCTTGGCAGGGGCTGCTGAGAGACCCTGGGGGGCTGCCCCGAGATGTTACCTGTCCAACTTCTCCTCCGCGTGCACCTTCAGGGCCTGGTACCTCTGCTCCTCCTTCTTCACTCGGGACAGGTACTCCTGGGCACATTTCTTCAGCACCTCTTCATTCTGACAGGGCACAGGACAGGTCGTGGCCACAGAAGAAATGCTGAGGAGTGTTTTGGGAACCCCGAGAATCCTCTGATGCAGGTATAACCTGGGACGGCCAAATCCAACTCCCCAGCCAGTGAGGACAGCCCTCCAGAAAACCCCGCACGACCAGCCTCCTGCTTTGCCCCAAACACAAAAAAGCATACCTTGCGGAAGCCCTCGAGGACCTCTTTCATCTTCTCGTATCTCCTGAAGAGATCGGCCAGAGATTTCTCCACAGAGTTCAGGTCGGCCAGGGCCTGCTCCTTCTCCAGGACCAGTTGCTGGACCGTTTGGTGGGAGACGGACTTCTCCCTCTGTTCATCCTCTGGCAGGAGAGAAAAGGAACAAAACCATGGAGCCGATGGAATCTGAGCCTGGTCCCAGGGGCCGGCAGAGGCCTCAGATGGAACTTGGCCTAACCAGCGGGGCATCTCAGACTTGGGACGGACGTACTCCCCCGAGCCCACCTAGACTGTCTCTGAAGGAAAAGGTCCGCAGCCCCGGCACCTTGGATGTAGGACTGCACCGTTTTAGATGGGAGGGAAGCCAGCCACTGTTTCTTAACCTCAACAATGCAAACCCTTTAAAATCTACATTGGAGACCCCAGTGATTCTATTTGGTTGCTGACAGCAAACAAGATCCATGAGGTAAAAAAGAAAACATCACTACCGAATAATGCATGTGGCGAGATTAAAAGGTGAGAGTCCGGGCTGGGAGGAGTGGGCCTTCCTTCCTATGTCATCAAGATAGACGGTTACAGGAAAAGATTTCTTCATTCTTAAAACACCCCATGAACCCAAGGGCCACATAACCATCACCCTCAAATTCTGCTTCACACAGAAACAGACATTTCCTTTGATACAGCAAGTATCTTAACTCTGAGAAAAATAGAGCTATGTCTATCCAATTAAGTTTCTCAGTTATGTACAAAAGAATTCAACTCTGGCCCAATTCAGAGTTGCTAATCCTGGTCAGAGGGACTGTTCTATCCTTGATCCCACCTTTGTGCACCATCACAAGCTAATATTTCTACCCTGAACATCGAGAATCTTCTCATTATTTATGGGAAAGGCTTGCTCTGACCACTCTATGTGAAAGCCTGAGCTCTTTCTCTTTGCTGCTGATCCATCACTGGTCCAGGTGGGCGATGGACCACTTGTTCTTGTTTGTCCAGATCATTAGGCACAGCAGAGACTGGGAAGGGAGAAGCCCTGCTCAGAGCTCCCAGGGGAAGGAGCTCTATAGACGAGTCCTTCTGGTGGCCCCAGGTCACAGGGAGGGGGCTGCCCACTGCCCAGGGCTGGCTGCCACAGGTTGGATCTCATCCATAACAGCCGTAATAACAGCAGCCCGCCCATACTGGGTTCTTCCACACATCGGGCGCCATCCTGACTGTTCTATTCACTTTATGCTCCTCAGCCAGCACTCAGCAGCCGCACTGAGCTCCCTGAAGTCCAAATGGGGTCACCTCATCCCCCACTCAGAGCCTTCGCGGCCTCCCTCGGCACTGGGAATAAAATCCAAACTCCTTCCTGGCTTGCTCTGCTCCTTGCCACTGCTCACCTAGCTCTGGCACAATGGCCTCCACCCAGCTCCATCGCCAGTCCTGCCCAGAGCTCAGTACTGTTGGGCCCTCTGCCCTGAGGGCCTCTGCCGAGATCGCAGGCCCCAGAGCTCCCCATGGCTCCCCCTCACTCACCCTGGTCTCTGGTCCCAGCCATTCCCTGGAGGCGCAGTACCTGAGCACCTGTGGGAGCCTCCTCCCCACCCTTGCTAGTCCTTTATTCTCTCCCTGGTGGCCAGTTCTTGTCCTTACAGCCATGTGTGTGTGCACAGTATGTCTTGGGGCTGTCCGTCCTCCCAGAGCACCTGCCCCGTGAGGGCAGGGCCTTGGGTCTGTTCCAGGGTCTAGGACGTGCCTGACTCACAGGATGCCTCAACACACATCCAGGCAACGAATGAACAAGTGAAGCCTGGTAACAGAGCAAGACCCAAACCCACACCTGAAAGGCCCCCACACCCTTAAAAGCAGAGAGATGCTCTTTTGGGCCCTTTCCCTTGGCTCCCTGAGAGATCTGCATGCTTCTGTGCCTGAAGCCTGAAGCCAGGCGTATTCCTGCTGAGTGGTGTGCAGGGAAGAGTCCGAACAGCAGGGCCACATCCCGGGTTTCAGCTCGAGCCCTGACAGAAACTTGCTCAGAAGTCCTGACTCAGGCAGGTCTCAGGGCTTCCTCTCCAAACGGAAGGGGTCAACACAGGAGCCTGCATCTGAGTTAGAGGGGGTGGGGGCATTCAAACGCAGATGCCTGTATCCCACCCAGGGAGCCTGATTCAGTTCTGGGGTGGGGCCAAGAATCTGCATCTGCTGCTTTCGAGTTCCTCAGTGGCGTGAGGCTGCTAGTCCAGGAACCACGCATGGAGAACCACAGGCCCGGCAGATGCCTGAGGTTCCTCCGACCTGCCTCTCAGACCTGCTACCAGGGCAGAGGGGCGGAGCCCGGGCACTAGGATCTGACAGCCCAGATGCCAGTCCTGGCTCAGACAAATCACAGCTCTGTGATGTTGGGCGGGGTTTTGAACCTGAGTTGCTGCCTCCTCAGCTGAAAGATGGGATCACGGTATTTATCTCACGGCACTTGGGGGAAGATTGAATGGGAGAATGTATATAAAGCCCTTGACACTTGACACACAGCAGGAGCCCAGCATCAGTGATGCGTTATCACCAGCACCTCCTGCATCCCCAACTGGTGTGATGCTGTACACAGTGGCTCATGAAGGGGAGCCTTTTAACAAACAGCGAGAACAGAGCTGCCAGCAACCTGCCTGCTACACCTAGGCTCCTAAAAGAAAGGGCAATTCAAAGTTTCACCAGTAACCACATATTTGCTTTTATTCTTTGAATTTTAGCAGCTTCCTCTGTCCTTAGCATGCTGTACAATGCACATTCCAGGCTGCTCTGAGGCCATGTACACTCACTTGGCTTGTAAGGGAGCCATTTATCAAACAGAGTCCATCCGATTTCCTGGATCTGAGACTTAGCCTGCCTCAGGTTTCCTTTCCTCCCCATATATAACCCTTATAAAAATAGAATTTCTCAGTTCCCAGGAGACTGAGTGGGGTGAGAATGCTTCACCAATCTTTTGGTAAATTACAAATGCAGCTAAGGTTCTTCAAATCCGGAAATCAGCCCCCAACCCAAGACACTCTGGACTCAACAACAAAACAATGCCCCTGGAGATTTTTTTGGCTTTGCCGGATAAAACATTACTAAACCACATGGGGGAATGCAAGACATACACAAAAGCAAAAGTAACAACAGAACAACAAACAAGGGTTGCAATGGGCAGGTGTCAAATTAGGTGAAAAGCGTTTACTTACCAGGCTTGCCTGTTTGTTTTGCAAGCAAAGGGCAAGAAGCAACAGAAAATGGAAGCAGAACAGGTCATCAGGGCAGTTGTTAGGAAAGCGAAAAAAATCCATTGCAATAACCCAGAAAGCAGAAAGCGCACGAGTCTCCTTGTGTTCTGAATTCTAAATATTCAATATCTGAACTTAATAAGACATCTCTTTAGTAACATGTGACGAGCATGGACAATGATGGCAGGACCGATGTCACACTGGAGTGGCACATTGGTGAAGGTTAAACTGAAGTCCCAGAGCTAGGATGGATCCGGGCAGCATCCGTGTGCATCCAGTGGGAACTGGTTTTTAACTTTCAAACGCTGTTACGCTCACTCTGGCCCTGAACTGCCAAGTTCTCTGGGCCTTAGTTTCCCTTTCCACTGGGGATGCTGGTGAGGAAGGTGGAAATAAGAAGAAAAATGTGGAACCCAGATGAGACATGCAGGTGTGTTTCCACATAGGAGACTCACGGCCTGCCCAGAAAGAAGGCAGGGCCGGCCACAACTAGAGAGTCCCAGTGGGGCCACAGCCCCACCCTGCCTTCTGGGAGGGCACAGGGACCTCAAAGTGATGGCGGCTCCCATCTGTGCCCTGCGATTGTGACTGATGGATGACAACCGCAGACAGGCCACCTTTCTGATGACAGCTCTGGAAAGTGGATGACGCAAAGCACTGTGGATGGGTGAGGATAGGCATCGAGGAATGGACACATGGTGGCCACATCCCTAGTGGCAGTGCTGCTTCCAGCCAGGGCCGCTATGGGGGTTTCATGGATACACGAACCACCAAAAACAGGAAAATGCTCAAAAGGGGTGAGTTCCCAGCTCGAAGAGGGACCCTCAGGCCAAACATACCAGGTCTCCTGGGGGAGTGCAGGGGGTGAGTATGTGTGGCCAGAATCCCTGGAGTCAGGGGTCCACACACTCCTCAGATTGTCTAGACTTGAAAATTCTGTTCTAATGATGCTCACCTGCAAATATGCTAAGAGGAATGTCTGAGAGATGTTGAATAACCTTCCTCTCACCAGCAGGACAGGCCACTTATGGAACCAGACAGATTGCCACTTTCAGTTTACAGGAGGGACGGCCTGCTTATGTGACTGCCAGCTGAGCAAAGATGGCTCTGGGCAGCTCATGACCTTTTACCTCCAATTCACCAATGGCCTAACCTTCATCACCAAGAGCAAAAATAAAAATGTATGACTCTGAGACACAGAAGGGTGTTTCCAGATGAACCACGGTAGGTCTGAGCGATGTCTTCACATCCCTAGACTCCAGGAGGTAGAAAGACTGTGTCCAGCTTGCCGAACACTGTATATTGGAAGCCATAAATCCTTTGCCCTGACCACTTTTACCAGCAGCTTCAATTCTAAGAGTTTTTTGTTTTTTATCTCATCCATATGGATTCATAAATTCTCATACCAGTTTAATAAAGAGGTTTCACTTGATAGAAAACATACACCATGAGGCTGATTCTTAGAAACACCCAGACAGGCTCTCCCTAAGCTCTGGAAGAAATGACCTTTATGATAACAAGCCCAAATTAAAGCTCCTCTGAAACAAAAGCACTCAAGTGTTGGCCTCTTTGCCATCCCCAAGGCCGCTCTCACATTTATCTTGGGACAAACTAGAAGTGAAGTGTGGCTCAAATCCAGATGTTTGAGAGGAAAG